CTTATCTCACCATTGCTGTAATCTGTGGATCTGTTTCTTTTGACTATTTTTTCCCCTTGTGATTATTTGTCACGTTTCTACCATTTTTGTATTACTAGCAATTTTTTTATTAGAGACTGAACATTGTGAATTTTGTGTAATTGAATACCTGGATTATATATTGTAGGGAGCGGCTATAGGGTTAAGCCTCGGACTGACCTGTTGGCAAAGCCACAAACAAGTCCCAGCTTAGAGAGCACAGCCCTGTTAGCATAATTAGGCTTGACCTTATGACGCTCCCTAGATCCTTCCTAGGTAGCTAATGGGCTGTGGAAGGTGTAGCAAGTGCTGCCAAAACAAGTGAAACTCACAAGAACATTATAACTATGGTGACCATTACTTTGTCTACCTCTGGCTATAAAATAAAGGCTCAGCTTGCCTCTGGATCTCTCTCTGTGGCTTCTGCCAAGCACAGGAAGATCCACCTTTGTCTGTCTTTTCTTCATCTTTTGCCGCCCTCCCTCAGGCTTGCGAACCCTTGGCTGAGCTGGCTTGGCACAATCTATTTTTCTGTTAAAGGGTGCTGGATTTAATTCTGACGGGCAGATCATTTAACTCTTTTGAGGCTTATCTTTAAACTTTATCAAGCATGTTTACTCTAGGGTTATTTTATTACTAATACTAAAATATTTTCCTCTGAAGGTTCTAATGAATGCCCCCAGTGTTCAGGGAGGACTCTGCAATTTAATCGATGACAACTGAATAATTTCCCATCCGTGGAAGCTCTAGAAATTTTTTAACTTATATCTCCCCAGTTATTCAATAGTTGTTTGCTGGGTTCTACATATGTGAACAAGGTCAAATGTATTAATAATTAAGAAAAATCTTTGATATCCTTACTTATTTTCCTGATGATACTATTAGTTACCAAAAACTTATATTATTCTTTCTGACTATGATTATGGAATTTTCTACTTGTCCTTTTGTTCTGATTTTTATTTTTCCTTTATATCTTTAGGTGCATATAAATAAAGGATTATTATACCATTCTGGTATATTGATCTTTTTCTTTATTAAATGCCCCCTTTATATAAGTTCCCATTGCCTTGAATTCTACCTTGTCTGATACTTGAAAAGCAATACTAGCTTTCTTATAGATGCAATTTGTATAATATGCCTTTCAACATTCTCTTAGGTTCACCCTTTCTCTGTTCTTATATTCAATGTGAATCTTCTATAACTATTCTATAGTATTATTTTATTTGGAATAGTGACAGAGTAGAGATTTAGCGCCAACTAGAGCTGACAGGTTCCAACCCTTGGGCTCTTACAGCTTGAGCTACATTGCTTCCCTAAATTGCATGTCCTCTCAGTTTCCATGTTCTCCTTGGCTGGTCCCATCCACTTCTGCAGTTGTCACTAGTCATAGTGATGAAGATACCCAATTCCACATCTCTAGCCCAGACTGTTGTCTTCTCTGGCTCTACAGATTTTTATGCACTTCTCTAGTGGAACTCTTCTGAATGTCCCAAGTATATTTCAATCTAAACGGGTCCAAAATTTGTTCCACCACTCATCAAGATGAACAGTTTCCTGCTACAAGCTTCCTGCTCAGTGATCATGTCATTCATGTAATCCAGTCTTTTTTCTGTGCATGGCACTTTTCAGTTTCAAAAATAAATAGTATTGTCCTGTTCTATAAGTAAATTTATTCACTTAATGTTCCCAAATTTGCCAATTGAGGGTGGATCTGCTGAAATGAAAACAACTGTTTTCAGTTTTGAAAAACAGGAGCTAACTGAAAGTTGGTCAAATGTGATCCAATTAGCTTTGATGAGCACAGAAGATAGACTATAAAATAAACATAAGCTAAATGTATCTCATTGGCAGGGGCTTTGTAAGACACAGTATTCTAAAGTTTCTGAGTCTGGCTTAACTTGACTAAATGTAGGATGATTAAAAGTTCACAAGTATTTTCTTTGGATGATTGGATTATGGCATTGTTTATATTCTCTGAAAATCCAAATATGTAATAATGGTCTCGTATTACATAATTATAAAAAGTTACATTTTAAAATGTTCCTCACAGAAACTTTTAAAACAGGAGTGTAAAAATTAACCACCCTCAAAGACTCAATACTTAAAAATTTTAATATGAATAATTAAATGCATTATTATGTTAGTAAATATCTACTATATCAGGTACTGTGCTAGAAACTGAGCTCCAGGATGATTAAGACAAAAATTATTATAAAAGGGCACAAGCTTGCATAAAAATGATAATGCCTAACTTATTTAATAATGTTATAATTATCATGTTTATTACTAGATTCATGATTAATAATATCATTAATAATAACTGCATGCATTGATAGGATATTTGGAAAGATAAAAACAGTACTGGTTTCGCCCTAACCGGTTTGGCTCAGTGGATAGAGTGTCGGCCTGTGGACTCAAGGGTCCCAAGTTTGATTCTGGTCAAGGGCATGTACCTTGGTTGCGGGTACATACCCAGTAGGGAGTGTGCAGGAGGCAGCTGGTCGATGTTTCTCTTTCATCGATGTTTCTAACTCTCTATCCCTCTCCCTTCCTCTCTGTAAAAAAAAAGTCAATAAAATATATTTTTAAAAAACCAATAAAACCAAAACAAAACAGTACTGGTTTAAATATATACACTGTTTAATGCAATCCAATCTTAGAAATGTTTTATTTTGGAAAAGCATATTCTTTGTGGAATCCAATAAGGTAATTTAGTCACAATATTTGTGAAGTGGTTTAATCACCGTCAGTGTTTCTCTATGCTTATGTTGTCAAAACTCAGATGCATCAAAATCACCCGAGGAATTGTCAAAACAGTAATTCCTGTCGGGTGATTGGGGGTGGCATGGAGGGTTGAGAATAGGAAGTGTCAGCATTTTTCACATTTTCCCTAGGTGATTACCAAGCAAGTAAATGGTCTGTGTTAATGTAAACACTGACACATACAAGGTTTAAAAAAAATTACGGATTTGGGGTTAGAGAACTTTTTTACCAAGTTCCTTTGAAAATGAAAAGTAATACTTTCCAGGTAAGTAGTTACTTGCCTTAGGCCACTTAATTATAAAAGACAGTTAGGAACAGCACTGAGCTGGGTCCTGAACTCCATTATAGCTGATTATCAGTCAAAATAATTAATAATTAAATATCTTCTATGTCAGGCACTAGTAACTGAGCTCCAGGATGATTAAGACTTAATCACTATCTTGAGTAGGGCACACACTCAAGCAAAAATAATAATGCTTAAAAACTTAGTATTGTTTGTAAGAACTTACAAAGCAGTTTGTTTCAGGTGTGGTAGGGATAAAAATGGGAAAGGAGTGTTTCAGCTTTAAAATATGATTCCCTAATATAATTTCCATGTCTTAAGGTAAGTCTGTTAAACTGGTTGGGCAGGCCTGTCCAGATGCTCTTTTGAGAAAATCCCCAAAAAGGATAGAAACACGGGCAAAACAGCTTTTAACCTGCTTGTTTTGAAATATATTTTTTATCGATTACAGAGACGAAAGGAGAGGGAGATATAGAAACATCAATGATACCAGAGAATCGTTGATCAGCTGCCTCTTGCACATCCCCCACTGGGGATTGAGCCCACAACCTGGGCATGTGCCCTCACCTGCCTGGGAATGGAACCGTGACCTAATGGTTCATAGGTCGAGGCTCAACCACTGAGCAACACTGGCTGGGCTAGCCTGCTTGTTTTGATGTCCTGAAGGAGTGCATCTTGGACACACCATGGTGACATCTAGATGTGTCTCCTGAGCTAGACCCCAGTGCCTTCATGTCCGAGTTCTTTGAAGAGGAGGGACATAAAAATAAACCGTAGCCCTAACCGGTTTGGCTCAGTGGATAGAGCATCAGTCTGCAGACTGAAAGGTCCCAGGTTCGATTGCGGTTGAGAGCATGTGCCTTGGTTGCGCGCACATCCCCAGTAGGAGGTGTGCAGGAGGCAGCTGAGCAATGTTTCTCTCTCATCGATGTTTCTAACTATCCCTCTTCCCTTTCTGTGTAAAAATTAATAAAATATATTTTTTAAAAAATAAATAAAAATAAACCCTAAAGTTATTTGGTTAAGAGCCAACATTAAGACCAAGAACCATGGGAATGGTGTTCACTTGATAAGCAATTATAAAGGGAAGATAAAGGCATTTTTTAAACTTCTGTAGAGGCCAAAGGGGGATTTAGCTCACCAGGGACTCCAGAAAAATCAGTGAGGTTTTGTTACCTTGACGACTCAACTCTTGCACATCAGCAACAGGAGCCAGCAGAAGGGCAAGTATGCTCAACTGATAAGGCAATGCACAAGGGAGCAAGAGTATTGCAAATATCAGAGAACTGGCAAGGTGGAACCCACATACTTTGGCCCTCTGTACTTATGAGCATGGGTGAAAGCTTCCTTTAGTCATTCCCACATCTGATGGGGGCAGGATTCTGTTAAATGCTGAGGAGTTGCATAGGAAGTAGCTCAACACAGTTGTACACCTCATTTATTCCACTCTGCAGCCTGTCAGGCAAGCATTAGTCCTCATTTTACATAAAACTGACTCTAAAAAAAATGTATCTGTAATAAAAAAGTTTATCTTTCAACTAAGACTGGGAGATATTTAAAGTTCATTCTTTAAGTTTGTTGAAGCAGTATTATGTTCCTGTACTACATTCACAGATTCACTGAAAAAAATTGTTTTCATTACTCCTGAAACTCCAGATAATTAAAGGGAAAAAATCATAGACTAGCCAACCACAGAGAAATGTTCCCTGATTAACACCCTGAGGGATTTGATTTCAGATTTTGGGGGGAGAACTCCTATATAAAAGGTGGGGCAAAAGTAGGTTTATAGTTGTTCATATGTAAAGTAACACAAGAATTAATAACACAAGTATAAACTGTGTTTGGTGTACTCACAACTGTAAACCTACTTTTGCCCTCCCATATGTGTGTGTGTGTGTGTGTGTGTGTGTGTGTGTTTAATGAGACAATAAATGTATAGGTTGATTTTTATTTGCTTTATTAACTTTACATTTTTCCATGCAAATGGGTGAAACTACTATTGGCAGAAACAAGACTGTGTGCCAAGGCAATCTCCAAGTAGAAGCTGGTAACACAGAACCCACTTGACACATGGAAATTACATGAGGTTCATAGCAAACAGATCAGTAAAGGCCTATCAGAAAACGCAAGGAAAAAGAAAATAACAGTGGGAATCACAGTATTAATCTCATAGAAAATGGCAGGAATCAAGGCATAAGGCAAAATTCATCATGATGGTCATGGTGATTAGAGAGCTCCCCCATAAGGATACGCAGGCAATTCCTTAATTGCAGCTCCCTAAGTTTTCTCCTGATTTCTCTCATCTCCTCCATGAACATTTCCATATCATCTCCATCTCCGCCCATCCCATCATTGACCTGCCTATTGGGTATGGCCCATCGGAAGTTAGGGGCCAGTCGGCGGGCCTGTCCCCGTCGATTATTTCCAGCTGGCTGGTGGCCTTCACCTCCTCCCAAAGGGCGGTCTTCCTCTCCATTCTGCATGGGCTGCTCCATTTCCTCGTTTTCGTGGTGGATATCTGCCATGATGAGATTTTTTTCCAGGTTGTTTTTCTTTGAACACAAGTAAGACAAAGGCAAGGAGTGACTGAATGCTTGGTGCACTGACCAGTAGGATTCAGAGCCTGATATCAAAGGTTTTTAAAGTGTCATTTTTCCCCACCTCAGGAGTTTCGTGCGCCCTCTAGGGGGCCTCCATTCCAGCCCCACCCTCCAGCTCGCTCCTTTTCCCTCCCTCCCACAAAGCCCACCATTTTTCCCTTCCCAGAGCTCAGGATACAGCAAAATGGAGGACGGGGGACTGGGAACAAGAACTTGGGGGAGGTCTCTGACTGGGCACTGCTCCCGCCCCCCGACCACCGTACCCCGCACCCACCTGGGCCTATCCTTGCAGGCGGCTCCTCCTCCCGATTCTCGCCTGGAGCGCGCG